GTGTAATGTTCAGGTGTCCACATATGTTTGGCCATGTCAGCCATAAAGGTAACCTGCTGCTTTTCATTTAGAATGAAACTACTGAAAGCAAAAGAAACACTGACTGACTGTATTTTTAAATGAGAGTATTTTCTGCTTTTCTCAGTTTTCTATCCATGTAAATTGAATATCGTTGGATTTGGGCTGTTAGTCTAGAGACATTGGCTTCTAGAAAATTGTTAGAAAATGAAAATTGAATTAATTCTTAAATTAAATTAATCTTAAGTTGAAGCTGTAATAAATCCATATAAAAATCACATGATATTCAAGAAATTCCATAACTACACAAATCATTATATAAGAGTAATACTGCACCTGGTCAACCGGTATGTGCCTGGCTAGCTCGCCGACCACTGTCCTGGGAGCAGCCTCTCCAACATCAACCTGCTGCACGTAAACACCGTCGGTCTCTGGAAGCTGCTGAGTTGTGATTATACGTCCAACGCGCAGGTCCAGTCGAGACACGTCCACCATGGCTTCATCTTTATCTGCCTGCTTCGTCTCTGCTTTCTCCCCTCCTGGCGTCAAAGAAAGAGAAGCACTATTATAAATACAGCCGAAGGCGACCGTTCTGGGATTCAAGCAAACACAGATCAGAAACACACGCGGTTCAACACTGTTATTAAACATATTCTGCCAGTTTCGTAATGACTGGAAAAACCATTTCTGATTTATAGTCTGACATGTTTCATGCCAGACCCAGTGTTTTGCATCTGTAGCGCCCCCAGTGGCCAATGTGAATGAAACTTTCAGGTTATGTTTCAGGTACTTATGTGGACATATCCTATAAGTTTTGTGATAATTGGCCCAACAGTTGTGCGTTAGGTTTTCTTTTCCCCCCCAAAAATGTGTTTATTAGATTTTCAATAATATACAGATTGGTTGATAACTTTAAAGATAAACAAGCATTATGCAACTTTTCATAAGCTTCTTCCAGTGATGATCCACAGAGGATTTGGTAGCAATCGGACCTACAGTTTAGGAGAAGATGTCAAAAATTCAAAATGACAGAAAATCTAGTTTCAGCCCCGTCAGGACTTGAACCCCTAATAATCGTGTAAACAAACTTAAGATGGATTAACTCTCTCTCTCTCTCCCCCCCTTTCCTGTCTGTCTGTCTCAAGGGATCCCTGTCAAATTAAAGGCATAACACCCCCACAATGCTACTAAATGTAGTTTATATTATACAAAATGTTTAAAAGCACTGAAAACTGGTAACTTATATCAAAAGATCATAGTGGAAACAATACAATAGACAATGTGCTTCCAACTTTGACATGAAAGTGTCCCAAAGCACAAGCCAATTCCATAAAGAAATGGGTTTCTCAGTTTATTGCGGAAGAGCTTGACTGAACTGCACAGAGCCCTGAACTCAGCTCTGGCTAACATTGGGATGAACTCGAGCGCAGACTGTGAGCCAGATCTTATCGCCCAAAATCAGTACCTGACCCCACTAATGCGCTTGTGACTAAATGGGAGCAAATCCCTGCACCCGAGTTCCAAAATCCTGTGGAAAAGCCTTCAAGGAGAGTGGAGGCAGAATATCAATACAAGTGCTTTTGGAGTGAGGCCGAGCGTGAAAGAAATGTTTGTTTTCCTAGTTTCCCCTATTTTCTCCCACAAGAGCCCAAAGTTTAGATTTAAATGCAAATCGACAGACTCTGACATCCACACCAGCTATGACATTTTACAAATGCCAAGCAACAAGGCTGGATTACCAACCAGGCAATGTCCCAAGTTGACTGCATGTCAGTGGTTTCTAGTAATTTAATCAACTGCAGGTTTTTTAAGGAATTAGCACCACTAAAAGAACAACACCAACAAAGACAGGACTGCATTAATTGAGCAGCTAGAAACAAGAAGTGTTTGACATTTGCACTTGAAAGGTGATAAAAATCTTTACATAAAAGTTGTGTTTAAATAAATTACCACAAACTAACAGAGCAACCAGGTATTAATAGGATGTTTTGCAGACTGTTTAATCCAGCCATGCCAGGCTACATCCAAACAAAGTCTCCATGAAATGAACACTGAACAGGTTCGGGAAGTAATCCATGACAGTTACAGGTAAGACAATCAGGTTTACAGGTATAAAAATTGCATTAAAAAAGTTTTTTAAACTTGCATTTTATTTATGTTGTATAAAAACCACAATATATGCAATAGATTGTATTATAATATACATCATATCTCCAGGTTCTTGCCACAATTAAGTTTAGTAAAAATTGGGATTATTAGCAGGATTACAATTTTAAAAATGCATTGTCTTCTGCATATTTAATGTTGAGATAATCCAAAAGTAAAAGAAAGTAATCGAGTAATTGCTTTTAATATTGTGATACCTGCATTAGGTTACAGACTACACTTTTGAAAAGGTAATTAGTAACTATATCAGATTACATTTTAAAAGTAACCCTTGGAAATAAAGCGTCTAGCTCAAATGTTTTCTCCGAGTTTCTCTAGGGTGCATAATGTGATTTTTAAAAATGTTTGCTCCAGCTTTGAGTCAGTTAGAAAGCTCCTGTGCTTGAACGGGAGCACATCTCTGCAGCTGGGTCCCAAAAAGAGGCGAGGAGAGAGAGTGTGCACAGTTACAATGCTCTGCAGTCACATAGGTGTAACGCTGCCAAAAGTATGTGGACACTTAACATTACACTTGTGTGCGAGTGTTGAACCTCTCATTCCCGACCCTCCTGAACTCACCTACGGGCTTGTTGTAAGTGGATACTCGGCCACGGAAGCCCATCTCACGGAGCTCCCGGCGGACGGTCCTGGAGCTCACGCTGGCCCCGGAGGCGGTCTGAAACTCGCTGGTGAGAGCTTCAACCGAGGGCAAACAATTTCCCAGCGCCACTTTCTCCAGCACTTGACGGTCCTCCTCTTTGAGCTTGTGCGGTCGGCCGCTCCGGGGCAGAGCCGTCGTTATTCCTCCGCGTTTCCACTTCAAAATCACCGCGCTCACGGTGGACCGAGGCAGGTTCAGCAGGGCGGAAATCTCCCGGACCGACTTTTTACACATGTGGCATCCGACGACAGTGCCGCGCTGAAAGTCACTGAGCTCCTCACGACGACCCATCTTATCGCAGGGGTTCGGAGTCTGCATCTCGCACTGATTTCTCACCTCCGCCTCCTTTTCTTCCCTCTCTCTTCTGCTGTGGTTTTAAATGCCACTGGCCTCATCACTGCCCTCCACAGGATTAAAATTAAAAAAAAAACCGCATCACATTTGCCAGTTTATTATGGCAGTGGTTCCCAGCCTTTTTCCTTAAGGGGCCCGTTTTATATTATTGAGAAAACTGACTACTTCACTGACTAAGTGATCTATTTTTAATAGACATTCTCATATCAAAACTGTACAATAAACCCAAACAATGAACTCAGTAACTGCAAGAAGTTTGTGTAAAACGAGACACTTGGATGAATTTTGAGCAGATTATTTTACAATTTTATACAATCTCTGTCTGAATTGTGAATTTTTTTATGTTATTTTGACAGTCGTACATAATTAATAGCAGGGGCGTTTCAAGAGGCTGGTGCCACCCATTAAATCTGATTGGCCACCCCTAGTGCCACCCCACTATCATCATCCTCTTCCATTACACACTAACTTACTGAGGCTGTAGTGGGCTCCTTTTTAAAGCTAGAAAGATCGTATGAAACTAGAAGGCCTAACGGATCCACTGGTACCAACCATGTCATGCCAGATAAAGGAGCTAAGTAATGCGCCAAAGTTAGGCTACATTTTGGTGAAGAACTGGCATGACCATTTTCAAAGTGATCCCTTGACTTACCTCAAGATAGCTGAATGAAAATGGGTTCTATGGGTAACAAGTACTACTACTTTATGCTAATCCCATGCAGTTTTTGGGCAAACAAACATACAGTTTTTTGCATGTGGTATGTGTTATTTTTGCCTATGTATTTGATTATTTCAGCAGATTCGGTCCCTAAACAACAGTGTTGGAATTGCATAAATTGGGAAAGAATGAAAAGTTGGGACATATACTTTCTGTATAAGTCGGTGACCCTCTTGTGCCACCCCAGTCAAAAAAGTCTGGAAACACAGGCTTTCTTTTTTTGACAGATTTTGTGTTTTTTTTTGTCCCTGCAGCTTGGCCATTGTTAGATTAGAAAATTTCCTTTTTTTACATTCACTTTTCCTCCTCCTCCTTCTCCTCTTTCTGTCTTAGTTTTAAGGGTTACAAACGACCTGAAAGCTGCATGCTGCCACCTACTGTTACAACATGACTTTATGTTTTGCTATTCTACTGTACATACAGTATTTAACTGGTTTCCAGACTATATTTAAACCATATGTATTTAGTGTCACAGTCAGAAAACACTTCACATTCTTTCCATGCAAAAAATCTTCATTGCCTGCAGGAAAAATAAACCCTGACCTATTCACAGAGCTGAAAGCATAGATCATAACAACCAGGGGTGGATCTAGAGAAATATGCATCGGGTGGCCAGAGGGTTGCATGGAGCCTTTAAGGGTTGACAATATATATGCTGATTTAATCACAAACAATCAATATTTGCTTGGAAAATCTCAAAAACATTACATCATTGTGGCACATTTGTAAAGAATTTATTGGAAAAATCTATTCATCTATATGATTAAAATGTGGCCAAAACAGATAATTAAATCATATGTGTGATTTCCATTTTTTCACTTGTTATTTATAAAATTAAACTAAATTAATGTGTTAAATCTGACACCAAACTGGGGTGGCAAGACATTTTTTAGGGTTGGCGGCTGCCAACCCTCTAGATCAGCCCCCGCTTGTTGGACCACGACAAAATGTCCTCACAGACCGACAGATTGTGAAATCCAGAACCTCAAAGAGATCTTACTGTGTTCACATTTTGTCTAAACGTCTGAAATGTAGAAAACTAGAGTACTATTTGGTGGCTTAGCTTGTAGCAGCACATTGCAGAGATCTATTCGGCTGAGTGGAAACATTGTTTTCTTCTTCCAGATTATAATAGACTTATATATAGTAATATAATATAATTATATTATAATAGGCTTTATTCTTTCTATTCTGGTTCCCTCATTTACACTCAAACACCACAAGCTCTGATCGTGTTCTTTATGTAGCAAAACATACTTTTTATTGAGCTTATGTAAAACGAACAAGTTTATCAAAGTTGAAAAAACCTGATTCAAATTTATTATAACTCACAATCATTGACATTCCTACACGTGCATCATGGTACAAAAAAAGGACAGAGACACTGCTAATCATACTTAGAATTCTTTTATATTACAAAATAGCAATGCTGTTATTTCTGCTGGGTATAGTGTACAATATATTGATCCCCCCCCACATATACACAAGAGTACAGATAAAAGATCACAACATTATACAATAAGCAACAACTTAATCATGTGCCATGTTCAACACTGTAGCCCTCTTTCTCAAAAGCTGTACATAAAAAAAGACTTTCTCAAGTCGTTCAGCATAGCCGCTCCCCATCCACTGGAGGGTTAAAGTGCAATAGAGGAAAATTTACATTAACACAAGAAAACACGTGACAAGGTGACAAAATGAAATACACAAAAGCTTTGATTAACTACTGATAATGAAACTACTGCATGTTGGGCCATGCTTTATTTTACAGGTCTATAATTTCTGAATAAAGGTTGAATACTTAACCTCATTTGGTGCTAATTATAAGGAAATATAGAGAGCATTCAATTGATGCATTCACTTCAACTTAATCCATTTAACCTAGAGAGGCTTTTATTCTGCTAATTACTATGTGTTATACTGTGACATTATTTATTGGTGGATGTGTTTTGTGCTTATTTAATATGCAGTGTATATGGATTTTTACAAGATTTGTTGTTTTACTCCATTTTTTGGATGGCCAAGGACATATGTCCCTGACAAATAAACAAATAAAAATTAATTTATAATAAATGAAGACATATGGAGAATAACGTTTCCAATAATATATTGACAATGTATGAAGGTTGATGAATATTTAGTTTGAGCTTTTCTTTTAAAAAACATTTCTACTTTCTCCAAAATTAGCACCAAATTACACAGTTCCTTCCAGGAACCTTGTTGGAAATGATGGAAATTACAGACACATAAAATAAAGTGTTACTTAACGTTGCAGGTACAATTAGGAACAACAACCCTACTTCATAAGTACACTGAATGCCATTACATGGAGTACACCAAGGTCTTTTGTGTCTTATAATTCTTTTGAATTCTATTTATTCCTACAAGAGAGTTGTTATTGAAACACTGTAAACAGACAAAACTGAGAGATGTCCCTATAGCTTATTATTATATTAATAATATATATATTTATCATTATTATAGTTGCTCCATGAAAAGAAGGCCTTAATCCAGCTTTAGACAAATTCGCTCTCTCAGGCAGTATACAGCCAGAATCAAGAGATCTGGTACGGAAAACAGATGTGCTTTGCTTTATCTTGTTGCTACGCCGACCAAACAAATGGTCAGAAAGAGACAGAGAGTTTTGTTATGTTTTTGTGCTCATGATTGAAGACTCATGAATTCAAAGCGTGGGCCAGTAAGAACAAATAAGAAAGACGAGGAGAGATATTGATGTTGTTGGGCGTTTCTGTCTCATGTATTGTGCTGTCTCAATATCCATGTGAGTTGATGTATCATACAGGAGGCTTAAAAAGGTCCAGAATAGATAGACTGAGACTTAAACATCTGTATCTATAATGTGCTGGCAAGAATCACAATCACCCTTTACTTTCATATCCACAATGCCAAAGATGTATAGTTAGAAGTAAACCAGGCTTTTTATCAAACCAACTATTACCACGTGTATTGTATAGATAGTGTATGAAAATGTACATTCATGAGTGCTTCCTATCACACGTCAGTCATGTTGAAATTGTAGGTTACATGTCGAACTGCTCAGTATGTGCTAATGATAGTTAAATGTAAAGTGAGGTAATGTGAAAACTGTCAAGCTTTTTCCCAACTGCAGGCATTATTTTACAGGGAAACACTGCTGTCAGAGCCCAAATATTCTTACATTACTATGGTTATCTCTAGAAAGTGTTGTCTTAAGCTGTTACAACGAAGAACATACAGTCTCACAAAACGCTTAAAGAAACGTAACATGTTTTCTAAAACCAACGCTTTCATGAAACGCTGAAACATTTACCCCTACATTCAATGATCCTTCAATTATTGACCCAAACTGGGGCGTGTGCACGTGTGTGTTACATAACAGAGTCCCAGGACATGGAAACTATGACTGGAAGTGAAAAAAAAACTCAGTTAAATTCCACTGGCTCCATCGACACAGTCAGCGGGTCTGTGCTTCATCAGTGTGCAAGTCTACAGGAATGTGAGAGGACACAGATCCAGTTGAGTATTGGATCCTACTGACCTTGCTCAATATGACATTACTGAAAAACTTCTTATACGGTGATTGACAGGACTACAACAGAACACAAGAAGGGGAAAAGTAGAATAATTAAATCTGCTACAAACTGTAAGAGATGATGAATGTAGGTTAACAGTCAGCATCATCATGGGAGTCTAAGAGTACGTCCACACTAAGCTGGCTAAAGCTGATCTGTCCTCTCACCTTAAAAACTAAGCTGTAACTGCAAGTGTGACAACTGTGATGGCGATTAACTCCAAATAAAATGCTAATCAAAATGAGAGGATTTTCTATATGACTCAAATTTGCAGCTCAACTAAAAACTTGTGTGGTCACCTTCTTTATTCTTGGGCTTCTACATGAGGTTAATGTTGAGCCACCAGAGGGCGTTGTACCCTTAAACATATACATATTTTTATGTTTATGTTTATACATAAACATAAACTGCTCTTTTCAACTCATCAGAGTAACTGCCAGTGGAACCCATTTCTGAGTACATGTTGGCTGTGATGAGGTTTGTCGTTTGCTGACCGAGGATGAAGAATAAGCAATGTTGCCGTTTTCCTATCGTTCAAGTGTTTATGTGGAGACCTTTGTGAAAACCACTAACCCCGACAACACTAGGCTGCATACGTGTCATTTTCTAAAATAAGCCAGCTTAGTGTGGATGTAGTCCAAGCAAAACTTTTCACTGATTCCATAGTTGTAAACATTTTCATGCTCTAAGCTTTTCATGCCTTAAAAAAATTCCATGCTTGGAGCTTCAAATTCCTCAAAGAACATCCAGACCATTTTAAATTCAGCTTATTTGTCAGGCAAGGCATAGCTCCTTCATTGTCCACCAAAAACAGTCCTCTCTCCCTCTTTCAACTGGCGTAAGCCTCGTGTTATTTCTTCAGTTTTATATCTCATGAACACATTCAGTGTCATTCCAGTCTGTCTGACAGCCAAGGGAATCAGTGTGCATGAAAAACAACTACTGTGTTTAAAGTACTACTGATAATCTTGGCACAAAGACTTGTTTGCTGATTTATATTGGCTGGCTTGACAAGTGTAGGAAGTTTGTCTCCAGGATGTGCACACTGCCAGTATTTGGTAGTGACAACTGCTATTGCCAGCTGTATTTAGCAGCAGTGTTAACACAGATATGGACATTTCCCTGTGACCAACAGCAGGGAGCGATCACCAGCGCCATGTGTTGTGATAACTTGTAAATCAGCAGCAGTTTCAGTAGGGCAGTGGGTGACATCACTTCAAACTGCTTGTGGCAAGCTACGATTGTCAAATGTGAGGACAGAAATATCTCCCTTGTGTTTGATTACTTCCTCTCAACAACAGGAATATTCAGTTGGTAAAAGTTACAAACGAAGGTCTCACAAAATAGTAACAGAAACAGTTACATTAAGAAATTCAGAAATTACAGCATAATGTGTGCATACATATTTCAACTCCTCAAATGTTACATGACCACATGAACTTAAAGACCTAAGCTTCAAGTTTTCAAGGGATAATAACATGTACCCATGTCTGAAGTTGAAAAAATTGCTGGTGGGAATTCACACCAATTGTTAGGGACAGAGAAAAAATCACATCAATAAAACTTACTTCTGGAATATGTTGGCAGTGATTTCGTACCAACAAATCAAACAATCTGCATTATTTTTTAATAATAATTAATGCTTCAATCTGGCATTAAGAAGGTCCTGCTGCTCCTGTGCTCATATTGTGTCTAGCAGCAGGTTTAGGTTGCCAGAGTGATGAGAAACTAATTTAGCCTTCTCAGTACTGTGAAGAGCTACAACATTGCATTTCAGATGCTAGGTTTAAGGATGTGAAACAATTATATGGACAAAAACTGGGTCACCACAATGTGAGAGCTGTGATTGGCTGTCTGGTCACCATGGCAGTCTAACCAACAAAATGGTGTGGTGTGACTGCTAGAAAACGAGCAAGCAACATGTCCACAGATGCAGTAAAGACAGAACTGGATGTTTTTTGTGCTGCTATGTTGTATTGCTCATTTGCCCATCTTCTGAGAAGTCACCTACTCCAGGGGCCAAAGACGTGGCGAATATCTAGGGCCCCCCGGTCACTCGGTCCTGCTCTCGTCCTCCTTTTCCAGGTGAATCATGCTTTTTTTTTTTCTCAGCTTCGATTGGCTCAGGATTTGGCCACCTCACATTCCTGCTCTGTGGACACGTCGACCTCAGAAATGCCTACCTCCACGCCCGTCATGATAGAAGTGTCTGAATCGCTGCTGAGTGGAGGCTGGTGCTCACCTGTGGGGTGGGGTGGG